GTAACCATAATGATGGTTGAGTAGATCATGTTGTGCGGGGAGAACCCTCACTCCGCGCAAGGGGGATGATCGCACCACGTTGTGTTGAAATGGCCAAGCACCCTCGAGGCAGTTACACGGTGCTTACAACTGTCTCTCGAAGTGAAAGCACGAGAAAGTAAATAAAGTCATACGCAGCTGTCATCCGTACGCAAGGAAGTAAGCACAAGATGCCGAAAACCCTTAGCAGGATGCAGCGCACCCTTCATGCGACTCGCCGAATATCTCACGGCGCTTCGCGCTTGGTGATGTGAGAGCCTGGTCCGGTGAGAACCCGGCGTGCTCCGTCCCGGCTTTGTAGGGATGCGAGGTCAATGGTCTAACGACTACGGCATGCACGACTATGAGTACACCCCTCCCGATCCCTCCCCCCCCCCTCTGTTCAATGGGCGTCATCCCCCGAAGCTTTTGCCAGCGACAAACTGCAGCTCCTCCTCTCTAATTCCCACGGACGAGGAGTCTCAACAAGAGAACGGAAAGGTTTTCTCTTGTTCGTGCGGTGGCGGCGGCGACGCCTTCACTGATGCCCTGTGCGGGTTGCAACCGGAGACGTGGGTGGAGTTCACCATCAAGGGTTCCGGGACGGCCGAGTCTCTCGCCTTGATGACCTTCACAGGTACGACGATTGTAGGCAGCGCCGCGTACAGCAGGACAGAGTGGCGTGTTGTTGTTGGTGTTGTTATTTTTGTTGTTTTGTTGGTGGTGGTGTTGATTCAAAGGTTTTCCGACAAGGTAGAGATAGACCTGACCAAGTGTACAAGAAGCACTCGACATGACGTCACCCACGCTTCAGGGAGGAAACAACGAATGGAACAGACCCTCCCTCGAACTGCTGTATCATGCAGGCACGCATTGTGCGGATTCAAAGGGTATCAGAAGCGTTACTGCTCTTTCGTTTCGTGTGTGATTCATTCAGCACGTTTTTTGTTGTTGCCCCTGCCTTAGTGGGCAGTGTAGAAATCGTAGCGTTTGTCGAACTAGGTGTAAGTTTACCAACCAACCTTGCTGAGGCCAATCGAAGAGAACTTTATCAACATCGCATCAAATAACCCCCCCGCCCCCCCTCTCTCCGTCTNACATGTGCATGATACGTCACAAGCGCGAATGATGGGAGTCCCCCCCTGCTTTTACTGTGGTCCGGATTCGACGAGCACGTACCCCCCCCCCCCCCCCCCCCCCCCCCCTTCTCTCTGTATTTCTCTCTGCCTCTCTCTCCCCCTCTCTCCCTCTCAATCTACTCGTTTCTTCCACCACGTGTTTTTCTTTTTCAGAGTTTGCCGGCACGGAGACGATGATCCGGGAAGCCTGGCCCGGAGAGCATGACTTCTACTATCCGGTTATCTACGAAGGGGCGGCTACCGACTGTACGGTGAGAGATCGGGGATTGACTCTCTCAGGACCCGAACCCGCCCTCAATCGCGAACCCAGCGCCGCGACGAAGCTGGTGCCACCAGCAGGCGTGCGACGCACAATCACGGCTACGGCTAGAAGAGAACAGCAGCTGACGGCGCAAGCAGGCGTGCGACGTGCATCAGCTAGCTCTTGCAGCCGGCAGAGTCCGCCATGTGTCGGGGGCACGTTGCGGTGGCGGGGCGTTTTAACGGCTTGTGATGGTGCTGCTGCTACTGCCGTAGCTGCGAGTAGTTGCATGCGTCGATTATGAATGGCTTCTGCATTGTTTTGTCCTTGCCTCCTTTCAATTTTTGTATCTTGTCTTCTGCTGTAACTGCGAACAATTGCGTGCGTATGCCGTGTATGACACAAGATAACACACCCCCCTTGACCGATTTCCAGAGCTCGATTACTCCACGACCAAGAAGATGCATGAACGAAACGATACATTTTTGGAGAGCTCTCGACGAGACGGCTTTAACGCCGCCGTTTTCGGCGCTGTGACTCTTTCTGCTGTTGAGAAATCGAGATTTGAAAATCGGTCCCTGGGGTGTGTTATCTTATGTCATGTACGGTATATGGCTTGGGTTATTCCTTCCTCTCGTTTTTTTGTGTTTTGATCTTGTCATGTTTTTTCTTGTCTTTCAGGTTACTCGCGGGCTGTGTCTTCCTGTGGAGGACACCGATATCGGCGAGCAGGAGTGCATTCGGTACGACTGCGGAGACACGCAAGGCAGTTGCCCCCCCGAGGGGTATCCGGTCTGCGACGGGTGAGAATCTCGTGCGCTGTGTTGTTGTCGTTGTTGCTGTTGTTGTTGTTGTTGTTGTTACTGTTGTTATTGTGGTTGATGTCGGTGTTGGTGTTGTTGTTGGTGTTGTTGTTGCTGCTGTTGTTGCTGTTGTTGTTGTTGTTGTTGTTGTTGTTGCTGCTGTTGTTGCTGTTGTTATTGTTGCTGCTGTTGTTGCTGCTGCTGCTGTTGTTGCTGTTGCTGCTGCTGTTGCTGTTGTTGGTTTTTCTTCCCCCAACGGCAACGAATTTCTTTCACCCCTTAGTTGTTGTTGTCTTCACATTAAAAACCGTTCCGTCCTCTCTGCCCAGTACCTCCTTCTGTCCGTACTTGTCTAACACTTGACGGGGTCGACTCCCGTGGTCCCAGACTACCTTACCAAAAAAGGTATACGAAAATATAATGGACCAGAAGGGTCCGCAAGCCAATAGAAGTCAACGACAGATAGTCTAGGCCACTCCGCTCGCCGCTATGCGAGGTAACCGCAGTTGGATTATTCACACGCGGCCACGACGGTATCGACTACTGTACCACTGCTGCCGCCGGCAATGAGACGTGCTTGCGTTGAGGAAGTCAACGCCCAGTTGAGGTAGTCGACGCCCACAACATATTCGAAAATATCTCGTCCTTTTTGTACCGTGCACACCTCTCAGGTGGCAAATATTGTGTCTGTACATCAGACCGTCCGGTCGGAGGTGCCCAAATTAGAACCACCCTTTGCGCTGATGCACTGAAACTTGCTAGCTTGCTTCCGAGGCGCACACGCCTTCGCCTTCCCCCCACCCCCCACTCCCCGTGGGAACAAGGCTGTCCTCTCGAGGACACGTGGTCAATGGTCTAACCGCTAAGGCATGCAATACATGAGAGTACCCCCCCTCCCCCTCCCTCACCAAGCACCCTCCCATCTGTGCCGTCCGAAAAACACACGCGCGTGACAGCTTCCCGGAGTGCGTCAGCGATTCCGGAGATGAGTATCAGGTTCACACGTGCACCGGAGCTCCGGCCAGCGACAAGGCGTTGACCATCGCTTGCCAAGACCAGCAGGTGCGTGTGACGGATTGAGGGGACGGAGACCGGTATAAAAGTAGCGTGCCGGTCGGGACGTACCGCCGGGCGTAGCTGTCGTATGACGAAATCTCGCCGCGCAGGCGCGCAGCAGCACCAACGGTGGTGGTGGCAGCGGCGGCGGCGGCGGCGGCGAATGTATCGCGTGCTTTTTTGTCGGGAGAGGTTTGACGGCACATTGCGTGCGTCGTGCAGCCACAGCACCATGTTTTTTGTATTTGCCTGGCCGCCTCCGGTGCTCCGCGACGCGCCTTCGATGCTCGAACTTGTAGCAGCGTTTGCTGACGGGGGTACCCCAGCCTGGCGAGTGTTTGTACACGTCGTTGAGCTCCTCGCGGCATCTGGTGTCGCTCATGCTCGTCGGGATCTCGATATACGTCGATAAGTTGGCGACGATGTGTTGCATGTGTGTATGTTTCTTGTCGGCATCGGCTGCGCTGACCAATGAGTGTACGGCAGGGTTCCTCCGGTCCCTTGTAGGATCCCGCCGCCCACGGCGTATACACCAGTAGCCGATGTTTTCACCCCGTTATTTCTGCTTGTCGTCCTCGTCGCCATGGTTTGTCGGGGGCAGGTTAATGGGACCTATATCTGCTGGTACCAGCAGCCCGGAGAGTTCGCGCCGCTCTCGATGACCTGCTCCGTTGGGTCCTGCCTCTACGAGGTGGGTCAGTCACGGGCCGTCACACCGCGAGAGCAGCAAGCAACCACCCCATGTGTCGGAATCGGGTTGGCTGCTGAGATCGTGGCTCGCCGCCGGATTTTTTTTTCCCTTTCTACTCTTTGTGTATCTGGGCAGAGCACAGGTTGTTCGTCGCCCCTCGCGCTCTGGTCTATATTGTTGTTGTTTCTCACATTAGCTCTAAAAAATGCCTCGTGGTGGTTCTTTTTCTGCCTCGGAGACTCGTGGCAAGGAAATGTTTCTCGACATGATCGACGATCTCTGAACTTCCGGTCGGGTGATCATCTCTTGATAACTAAACCATCGTCCCCTTTTTTTGGTGCTGCCGCCGCCGCCGCCGGCCGCCCGATGAAGGGAAGCGAGGTGTTGGCGATCGAGGCCACGGTGGTGGAAGAAGCGCCCCTGGACACGTCGGAGCAGTCGTTCATCCTCATCGCCGGAGCGCTGCTGCTCCTGCTCCTGTTCTGCCTGTTCGCCCTCGCCACGGACTGGGGCTCCGCACGGAAGGACTCGAAGAGCTGCTTCTTTTCCAAGTCCAGGAACGTCGGGGGGTGGGAGGGGGGATCGGCGATGGGAGGAGACGGTGCTAGCACCAGCGCGGCCTTTGGCGGCGAGGAGAAGGCTGCCGTCGGTGGTGATGATGGCGCGGCGGTGGCGGGGGCGGGGGCAGCGGTGGCTGGAGTCGGGGTGCCGCCGGCCGCCCCAACTCCGGCGCCGTCGCCGGCCGTGCTGGAGTGGAAGAACCTGAGCTACTCGGTGGCGGTCAAGACGCGCGGCAGCGGCAGCGACAGCGGAGGAGGAGGCGTTTTCGCCGCTCTTGCCAGCGGGTGCCGTTACCCCGAGCTGCCGGTGTTGTCCCGGGTGTCCGGATTTGCCGGGCCGATTGCCGCGGCTGGGACGTATCCGGGCGGCGACGGCGCCGCCCCTTCCGTTGTCAGCGGTGGGAGGCCGCTATCGATGTCTTCGAACTTGTCGGGCGCTTTCTTGGACGGAAGGGCCGGGTTCCCCGCCCGTTCGACCTCTGCGACCTCGACGGACGTTGCCGCCTCCGATACCGGAGCAGCAGCGGCGGCGGCGACAGCGTTCTCCGGCAACCAGCCGGCAGGCTGCTGGGCAACAACAACAACAACAGCACTGCCGAGCACGCTCACCGGTATCCTGGGGCCCTCGGGCGCAGGGAAGTCTTCCCTGTTGGACATCCTCGCCGGACGCAAGCGTTCCGGCGAGGGCCGCGCGTCGGGCCAAGTTTTCGTGAGCCTGGACGGCCGGGGGGGGCGAGGGGGCCCCGCAGAAATCAGACGGGTGGCCGGGTACGTACCCCAGGAGGACGTCCTCCCGGGGACCCTGACCTGCTACGAGCACCTCATGTTCCACGCTAGGTTGAGGATGCCAAGGAAGGCCACCCATGGGGAGCGGCGGGAGCGGGCGCTGGCGGTGCTGGGGGAGCTGGGGCTTAGCCGCGTCGCGGACTCGCGCGTCGGGGACGCCCGGAAGAGGGGGCTGTCTGGAGGGGAGAAGCGGAGGCTGTCGATCGCGGCGGAGCTGATGGCAGGACCGCCGCTGCTGTTCCTCGACGAGCCCACGACGGGGTTGGGTGAGAACAGAGGGCTGATCGCGATATGCATACTCGTGTGTTTTACTAGATGTAAAAAGCACGGGTAGGTATACAGCATGGGCGGCTGCGGGAGACCGTANNNGTACTCATAGTCGTGCATGCCGTAGTCGTTAGACCATTGACCTTGCATCTCTGCAAAGCCGGGACGGAGCACGCCGGGTTCTCACCGGACCAGGCTCTCACATCACC